CCTCCTCCTCCTCCTCCTCCTCCCTTCTCCTGAACGCTTCAGGAGGGCGGTTTGTGATGCCGAGGGGCCTCACGCAGACCGCTTTCGAGGCCAATCCGTTGGACGTCCCGGTCTTCCTGGAGGCTGAGCGCCAGTTGGTGTCCGGGTCCGGCTTCGAGGTCTTCGAGTTTCAGGTCATGAGGGTATCGCAAGATGGAGCATTCGCTTTGTCTGGACGGAACTGATTTTCAAGCAATGTGAGCCGACCGCAGACCTGCTGTGGGAGAAATTGGGCCTCGACGTTTCTGCTCAGCTCGACCGGTTGAGTGGCCGCGTGCAGAGCAGCACCGCGGCCGCGGACGACCTGCACTGGGTTTCGCGACCGCCTCTTCGAGAGCGAGGTGCCCTCGCGCCTCCTCCCGCCCTTTTTGGTTTCGCTGGGCCGGCGCTATCAGAGACTCGTTTCAGGTGGCAAGGGTCGCAAGCGGGTTTGGGCAACGATTGGGTTATGTCGGGTGTCCCCCTGTAAGAGAATTTTCGACGAAGAACGAAAAACACTCCAAACATACCTCCAAAAAGGTCAAAAAATAGTCCAAAAATAGTCCCCAGACTATTTTTGGAGTATTTTTTTACTATTTTTGGGGTATTTTTTTCCCCTGTCAAAAATCCCCCTGTAGGGGGACAGGCCCGACTTAACGATTGGGCCACATCGTGTGTATTGCTCGGGCCTCCGGTGTCCCTTCGCAGGCCAGAGGGAGGGCCAGTGCATGCAGAGTCTGCCGTGCACGTCGAGCTCGCGCGTCCCTTGCTGGCTGTTCGGTTTTTGCACCCAGGCGCTGGCAAGGAGTGAACACCATCCTGTCGCCGAGAAGAATGCCAATCATCCTCTACCGTTCTTGTGCATCGAGGACTTCCGCTCGTTTCCGCGACCTGCGTTTGGGTCTGGGTGGTCTGGTGCAGGTCTCCCAGATCAAAATCCGCCGACCCTTCGGCGTGTGTGAGACGCTGTCGTCGTCGTCGTCGTCGTTGTCGTCGTTGTCGTCGTCGTCGTCATCGTCGTCGTCGCCAGTACCAGTGAAATTGGGAACGAAAAGAGACACGTTGTCGTCCAATCGACCCCCTCCCCTTTTCCCCTCCCTGACGGGACGGGGGGGGGGGTACGCGGGGGTGGGGGGTAGGGGGGGGACAACGGGGGGGTTAGGGGGGGGACAACTGGGGGGGTCCTGGGTCAGATTGCCGACCCCCCCTCCCGTGTCCCAGCGGACCCCCCCCCCCTCCAGTCCTCCCTGCGGACAATGGAGGGGGGCAGGGGAGGCGTCGCTCCTGCAGGAGGGGAGAGTCCTTGAGGGGGGGGCTCCGGGGGGAGGTCCCGCCCGCGGTGGGGGAGGGCGGTCCTGGGTCAGGACACCGGCCCCTCCTGAGGTCCAGGCGGGTCCTGGGGGGGGGGCACCTTCCGGGATCCCAGGGGAGGTCCCGCCTTCAGGGTCGGCGGCACCAGCCGCAAGGCCTTCTCAACATGCTTGAACCTATATATATATATATATATGTATATACATATAATATTTCTATATATATATAGACGGTTAGATGATGGGAGCCTGGTGTCAGTTCACGTGCGCGTGAATTATACGCGCTTCTCGCCTATAGTATGACCCCCGCTTTCACTAATAGACTTCAATGGAATCTTATTTGCAACGACTCTCCAGAGCCTAGTCTGTAGATAGACGCCTAGACAGAGGGCAACATCACTTCAGAGGTGCTGGTGACGTCAAGCTCGCGCGCCCCTGGCTGGCAGTTCGAAGCCCGTACGCACGACGGCAAGGATTCCACGTCCCTGTGCTGCAACACATCCAACCACCGTCTCCACCGTTCTTGTCTATCCCGACGGTTCCCTCGTCCTGCGTTTCGTTTGGGCCCGGATGGGTGGGCAGAGGTCTCCAGAGGCAGCGCACGTGAAAATCAGATATCATGGCAGGACGACGCCTGGCAGCGATACTTCGGACTGGGAAGCCGCGATTTCGGGAGCGGAGCGCAGGGACACACGTTTGTGTACCCTTCTCGATTTGTGCGCGTCATCCTTGCGCAGGGGCCATGCTAATCTTCTCTGCATCGTTCCACCTTTTACGGATGATCCTCGAAGGGAATCCAACATCGAGATTAAAGAGCGGGAGGGCGAGGATCAGGAGGCAGAAGAGCAGGGAATGGAGAAGCAGGAGACGAGGAACGATGACGACGAAGGCCTTTTCACAAGCATGCGGGGAATTATTCTTGACCCGAGCACGCAGATGGCGTGGTCTCGTTGTGTTCCAGTGCGGAGGCCTTGTGCCACGCACGCAGTTGCATCATTCGTCCGCGTTGCAAGCTCTGCTCTGCTTTGAGAGCACGGCGTGCTGCGACATCGAATTCTCTCCATGTGTGAGGGGGCTTCTGCCCAGAGGGCCCGTGGACAGAGCGCCCAGAGCGTTCTCATGAAAGCGCATCGGGGCACGACGCCAAGTTCGCAAGGCGCGAGAGCATCATCGCATCCTACGGTTTACCGCCACGGCGTCCAGGTCCAGATCCAGGTCCAGGTGGACGTTCCTTTGCATGTCCTGCAGCATGCGTCCTGGACAGCCTCCATGAAACAGAACTTCTTGAGGTTTGCACAGGAAGTGTTCGCCCCGAGCGTTTGTGTTACGATGCCGGGCTTGGGGTCATCGAAGCACATCTCGTTGATGTTGTTCTCCAACTGCTGCTTGCATGTTTGGCAGCACAGCTCTCGCACGGAATCGTGGTCCTCGCAATAATGGCCCGCCTGGCCACACCCAATTCCTGCCCGTTGACGGTGAACCTGAAGCCTACGTCATCGTGACACTCGCCTCCGCCTGCGTCGCTGCCGTCGGTGATCTCCGCCTGCTCGGCCTCGCGTTCGCACGTCTTGCAACACTTCGACTGCACTGCCTCAGACACGAAGCAGTACGACCGGAGCTCGTCGCACGTGGCTGTGCTTTGCCCATCGTTGATTGTTATACCCGTCTGCTCATGATCCAGGCAAGTGAGCCTCAGGGCGGGAGTCGTGGCACTCGACGTGGGATCCTCTGGTCCTGGAGACGAAGTTGATGACGATGCACAGACATCCAACGGTCCGCACGTACCTGGGCAATACCTTTGCACATGGGTCGCGTACTCACCCGTGCACTTCACGTTCGAATACTTCGGGTAGGGCTCCTTGACGTCACTGCACGAGACATCCAGAAAACCTGCCACGCCCCCAGGTGAGTCGGAACAGCCACAAGCGAGGTCAGACCTGGGAATCCGTGCGAAGTGCCATAGCTCACCCTTCTGCACACTTGTCCAACGTTCTCCTTCAACCACCAACCACTTCTCGAAACTTGCAACGAAATATGCAAACTCCTTCCCATCGAAGCTCCAATACGTTGGGATGCCCCCGTACATTCTGTCCGGCCTCTTCGTGAACAACCCCCCCCCGTTCACCGTCACCTGATCGCAACGCGCGCCGCCAGCGGGGCCAAACATCCTGAGTCCAACATCGGGCGCCGTGTCGTTTGTCGAATCGATGCTCCGCCGCCGTGCCTCTGGCACGGCACGGCGTCGGAAGGCCAGACAGGCGAGAGCACCCAAATCCTTCTAACAACTTTGGAATGCCGCTGATTTTTGCCTCTGGGAGGCTCTCTTGGGGGGCCTCTTTAGAGGCCTCCTGGGCCGTCTTGAGACCATCAAGCATCTTGGAGCCATCTCGGGGCGACGTGGGGCCTTTTTGATTACTTTCGGGGCCCCTTGGAGCCATCTGGGGTCGTTTTTCGGTGCCTCCTGGGCGGGGAGGGTGCCAGCCAGTCCTCGGATGGCCCCTCGGCGCAGCACGACCCCTCCGGGCCCAAGGCCTTCCGCTAGCGGGGCACCCTCGGGCGCCTCCGCTTCCAGGGGCGCCCCTACGCGCCCTCTCCGAGGCGCGAAGGGGCCGCGGCCCGAGCTCCAAGCCGCCCGTGGTGCCCGAAGATGGCCCGAAGGATCCGCCTTGGGCCCATCTCGGGGCCAGGCCAATCGGCAACCTGTTGCGCACTGCATGGAAATGCAGATGTCCGCGTTTCGGCTCCACGGGTGCTCCATGCGCCCCCCAGGGCCCCCACGCGGCCGCAGGTGGGGCCGACGAGCTCCCGAAATAGGCCCCAGCCAGGCCCCTGAGGGGGACCTCGAATGTAACACAGGAACACGTTTGGGAATCCGCCAAGATGGCTCCCCAAAGAGGCTCTCGAAGACCCACACGCTGCACCTACGAGATCCCCCAGATGTCCCAAAGAGGCCCCAAAGTGCCTCTCAAGAGACCCGCAAGCACGCCCCGAAAAAGCCCGCGTCCCAAGACGCCGCTGTATTTCCAAACGTTCTCCTAGGACCCCTGCAAGGGGGCTCTCCAGACCTTCAACTGTTGCGGCCTTTCATCGATCCCACTGCGACTTGAGCCATAATCCAAGCACGGTGGCGGGATGGACCGAAGGCCTCTAAATCCGCCGCCCCCTGCTTGCAGGGGTGCACGGCGTGCTGGATGAGCTGTTAGGTTTTGGTTTTGGTTCTTTTTCCAAAAGAACTCCCCAGTGGGCTCCGGCAGAACCCGCCGGCCACCCGGAAAATCCCCAAACGTGCTCAACGACCGCAAAAAATCCTCCAAAAAACGGCCGTTTCGCTCGGGACATCCTGAAAAAATCGCGAAGATGGCCCAAGATGGCCTCCAAGTCCGCCCGAGATGGTCCAAGACGGCCTCCAAAACGGCCCAAGAGAGTCCAAGACGGCCCAAGACGGCCCAAGAGGCCCCCCAGAGGCCTCCCAGACGGCCCAAGAGGCCTCCAAGAGGTCCTCCAGGAGAGTCCGAAGAGGCCAAAATCATTGATTTTTCCTTGGTTTTTGAAGGATTCTGGCATTTGCGCCTTTTCGGCTCTCCGACGGCTCGAGACGGCCCAAGAAGCCCCCAAGATCGCCCAAGAGGCCCCCAAGAGAGCCCCCTGATGGCCCAAGTGGCCTCCAAGATGGCCCCTAGAGGGCCCCAAGAGGGCCCAAGAGGCCTCCAACACGCCCAAGATGGCCTCCAAGACGCCCAAGATGGCCTCCAAGACGGCCCTGGAGCGCCCCAAGAGGGTCCCCCGTTGGCCCAGAAAGGCCCCCAAAACGGCTCCCGACGGCGTCAGACGTGCCAGGAACCCACCAAGATGGCCGAAGTTGGCTCGAAGCTGGCCCAAAAGGGCCCAAGAGGCCCCCAAGAGGGCCTCCAGGAAGGCCAAAAGATGCCCAAATCACTGATTTTTCCAAGGTTTTTGATGGATTTGGGCATTTCCCTTTTTTCGGCCTTCCGACGGCCCGAGACGGCCCAAGAGCCCCCAAAGATCGCCGAAAGATCGCCCAAGAGGCCTCCAAGACGGCGACGATGACCATCAAGACGCCCACGTGTTCCCCGAAGGCTTTCCAAACCGATTCGGGGAACACATGGTCCGATGGCTTGGCAGGTCTGGCCTCAACGTTCGGCCACATAGGCGCTTCCACAAAGGCAGGGGGCGGCGGTGATTCGCCGTAGGCGTCTTCGATCCGCCGCCCCCTCCTCCAAGAAGGCCCGAAAGGGTCAAAATGGCCTCCAGACGGCCAAGATGAGCTTCAAGATGCCCACGTGTTCTCCGAAGGCTTTCCAAACCGATTCGGGGAACACATGGTCCGATAGCTTGGCAGGTCTGGCCTCAACGTTCGGCCACATAGGCGCTTCCAAAAAGGCAGGGGGCGGCGGTGATTCGCCGTAGGCGTCTTCGATCCGCCGCCCCCTGTTGCTTGCAAGAGGGGTGCCTGGCGTGAATCCAATCGGTTTTGGTTATGGTTCTTTTCCCAAAGAACTCCTCCTGGGGCTCCGGCGCGTCCAGCATGCCACCCCAAAGGATGCCGAAAATATGCCCAGACCCGGCTCTAAAAGGATTTTCGTGGTCCAAACGGCTCCACGACGGCCCAAGATGGCCTCCCAGATGCATCCCAGACGGCTAAGATGGCCTCCAAGACGGCTAAGACGGCCCCAAGATGCCTCCAAGACGGCCCAAGATGTACCCAAGATGGCGTAAGATAGCCTCAAAATGGCCCAAGACGGCCCAAGAGGCCTCAACACGGCCCAAGAGGCCTCCAAGAGGTGCTCCATGGAGGGCCCGCAGAGGCCAAAATCATTGATTTTCCTACGGTTTTTGAAGGATTTGGGCAATTGTCTCTTCTCATCATTCCGACGGCTCAAGAGGGCCCAAGAGGCCGCCAAGATCGCCCCACCATCGCCCACGAGGTCTCCAAGAGGGCCCCATGACGGCCCAAGAGGCCTCGAAGATGGCCCTAAGAGGCCTCCAAGACAGCCCAAGAGACCTCCAAGACGCCCAAGATGGCCTCCAAGACGGCCCCGAAGCGCCCCAAGAGGACCCCAAGTCGGTTCAGAGAGGCCCCCAAGACGGCTCCCGACGGCGTCAGACGTGCCATGAACCCACCAAGATGGCCGAAGTTGGCTCGAAGCTGGCCTAAGACGGCCCAAGAGGCCTCCAAGAGGGCCTCCAGGAAAGTCAGACAAGACCAACATCACTGATTTGCCGAAGGTTTTTGAAGGATTTTGACATTTGCTTCTTTTCGGCCTTCCGACGGACCGAGACGGCCCAAGAGGCCCCAAAGATCACCCAAAGGTCGCCCAAAAGGTCTCCAAGCTGGTTCCAGAACGGCCCAAGAGGCCCCCAAGACGGCCCCAAGAGTACCTCAAGAGGCTCCGAAAAGGCATCTTCCCCCTTCTCCTTTTTCCTCCTTCTCCCCCTCTTCCTCTTCCTCCCCCATGTGTTCCCCGAAGGCTTTCCAAACCGACTCGGGGAACACATGGTCCGATAGCTTCGCCCCCCAAGATGCCTCCAAGACGGCCCAAGATGCCTCCAAGACGGCCTAAGATGGCGTCAATATTGCCCAAGACGGCCCAAGAGGCCCCCAAGGGGCCTCCAAGACGGTCCAAGAGGCCTCCAAGAGGTCCTCCAGGAGGGCCCGAAGAGACCAAAATCATTAATTTTCCTTAAGTGTTTCAAGGATGTTGGTATTTGTTTCTTCTCGCCATTCCGACAGCTCAAGACGGCCCAAGAGGCCCCTTGTTCTTCCTCATCATGTTAATTCTCCCCCACGTGTTCTCCGAAAGCTTTCCAAACCGATTCGGGGAACACATGGTCCGATAGCTTGGCAGGCCTCTGGCCACAACGTTCGGCCACATAGGCGCTTCCGAAAGGGCAGGGGGCGGCGGTGATTCGCCGTAGGCGTCTTCGATCCGCCGCCCCTCTTAGATTTATCAAAGGGGTGCCTGGCGTGCTAGATCCGACGGCTTGGTTTTTGGTTCTTTTCCAGAAGAACTCCCCCTGGGGTTTCGGTCCATGCCGCCGGCCACCAGGAAGGCCCCGCCGCTGCGCAACCAACGTCTCCAAGACGGCCTCGATGGCCTCCAAGACGGCCAAGATGGACCATGACGGCCCCCAAGATGGCTCCAAGAGGCCCCCGAGAGGCCCTCAGGACGGCCAAATTGGCCTCAAAGGTTCCCCAGGAGGGCCCGAAGAGGCCAAACTCATTTTTTTTGTTCTGTAAGTTTTTGGCAGACTTTGGCATTTGCTTCTTTTCGGCCTTTCGACAGCCCAAGACGGCACAAAAGGCCCCCAAGATCGCCCCAAGATGGCCCTAAAGGTCTCCAAGATGACTGCACGACGGCCCAAGAAGCCCCCAAGATGGTCCCAAGAGGCCTCCAAGTTCGCCCAAGATGGCCTCCAAGACGGCCCAAGAGGGTCCAAGATGACCTCCAAGACTGCCCAAGAGGGTCTGAGATGCCTCCAAGACGGCCCAAGACGCCTCCAAGACGGCCCAAGAAGCCCCCAACAAGCCACCAAGGTGTCCCAAGAGGCCTCCAAGAGGTTCCCAGGAGGGCCCGAAGAGGCCCACATCATTTGTTGTCTTCAAGTGTTTGAAGAATTTGGGCGCTTGTTTGCCTCCTTTCGCCCTTCCGACGGCCGGCCCAAGACGGCCCAAGAGGCCCCCAAGATCGTCCCACGACGGCTCCAAAGGCCTCCAAGATGACCCCATGACGGCCTAAGAAGCCTCCACGACGGCTCATGCCGGCCCAAGAAGCCTCCAACACGGGCCTCCAAGTTCGCTCAAGATGATCCAAGATGGCCTTCAAGACGGCCCCAGAGGCCTCCTCCTGCCTCTCTCCTTTTTCTACTTTTTCTCCCGCTTCCTCCTCGTCCTCCTCGTCCTCCTCTTCCTCCCCCGCGTGTTCCCCCGAGGGCTTCCGCAACGGCTGGGGCAATGCATGGTCCAACAGCGTGGCCAAACTTTGCTCAAACGTTTGGCCTCGTAGGCGTATCCTAAAAGGCAGGGGGCGGCAGTCATTCGCCGTAGGCGTCTTCGATCCGCCGACCCCTGTGAAAGGGACCCACGAGTCCTCCATGAGTGCCCCAGACGCCCTGAGAGGGCCCCAACAGAATCTTAAACGGCCGAACCTACTGACAAACATTGAGGTTTCTCACATGCTTTTTGTTTATTTGGGGAGCTTCCCAACTTTTCAGCTCAAAATGCTTGCAAGAGGGTCTCGGAGAAGCTGGACCGCGTTCCTGCATGGCTCCGAGACGGCCCATGACTGCCTCAAGACTGCCCTCGGAATGCCTCAGGAATGCCCCCAAACTGGCACAACAGGGCCCCAGGACAAACAGAACGGCACCCAGGGGACCCCAAGACGGCATCAAAAAGACTCACAGGACGAGGCCAAGAAGGCCCGAGAGAGCCACGCGATTGCACCAGAGTGCCCTCAATACCGCTCCGTAGCGCCCTGCCAGGCCCCCATGATGGGTCCCGAGAGGGCCCCGCGGGAGCTCCAAGACGGCCCAAGAGTGAGGTCGCCTGCTCCGAGAACAGCCCACGAGGCCCCCCCCGAAACCTACATGATGCTCTAAATTTGGTCTTTCGGCAGCGACAGGCAATGGTGACTCGCCGGAGGCGTTTTCGCTAACTTCTGAGGCCGCGTACACTGCAAAGACAACCTGGTTGATGAAGTCACCATCCGGGAAGTCCGCGGATGCAAATGCAACGTACTTGCCTGCGCCCAGAGTTATCTTCGCAGTGGCACTGTTAATGCCATTACTGGGCTGATCGCCAAACACTGGCTTCTCCATCTTTCCTGCCTCTATCTTTGCGACCGCCAGCGTGACCGTGGGGTCCTTCATTTGGCAAGGCTTGACCATACGCTGAGAAGGCCAGTTTAAAGACACATAAAACACATCGTCATCTGGCACTTCAAACTCCAGGACGCTAGCCTTGCTCTGGGACTCTCTCTGGATAACCCTGTAAGAATTCACATAGTGCGGTCGGAACGCTGCAAGGAATGTGTAGTCGAATGCTTGGTAGTACTCTGCCAATGTCATTGTGAAGCTACCGTCGTCGTGATCCTCGTTGGGGACTGTACCATTGTAATGATCTCTGTGCCACGGGTTGAAGACCTCCACGACGTCCCCGTAGTCCGGCGAATGGAACGCCCGGAACACGGAATACGCATGACCAAGGGCCATGCCGAACTTCTCCGCGCCACTGCCCCCGGTGATAGCTGCCATAGGGAACTTGCGAGCAGTGCCATCCGACAGGATTTCCCAGATCGTTTCCCGTGTCACGTCGCTGTGGGGGTGCTGGCGGGTCGGTGCGCGGGTGATCGCGCCCACGACGTTCTGCCAGGAACCAAACTCTGCAGCTTTGAAGCTGGTGAAGATCTTCGACCAGGCCTTCTCCAGAATCACTGGCCAGAACTCCCCCTCGTGGCTTGGCCGTACGACGTAGAAGGGGACACCGTCGTGAGCGGGGATCATGTCATCTACCTCCACCAGCATCACCTTGCCATTGAGCATCCACCTTGACGTGAAGATGTTATGGTCCCACTTCTCCCGATTCACGAACATGTTGTCGATAACCTGTGGGTCAGAGTATACGCAATAGAAGCAACCGCAGCAAGAAAGTAGCACGTCCCCAGCTGTCCTTGGCCAATATCGTGGTACTGCACATGCTGTGGGCCAAAAACCATGAACGGTGTGCCATGCCGATGCGCGACTTCTTCGAAGGTGGCCCAGTGGTTGAATTTCGAGCACCCGCAGTTGTCGTGACGCGAAGCGATCGAGTGCTTGCCTGCTTCGAACATAGGGTCGGGACCATGCTGCATGTCTTGGCTCCCCAGCACGTCGAAGCGCTTGATGCGCGCGGAGCAATCCTGAGGTCCAGACACTAGCCTCCTCGATGTCGCTCTAGGAGGTCTCCTCCAGAGACTGGCCTCCCTGGCCGCAAAATCTGACAAGGCAGACAAGTTCACCGTCGGGACTGGGCCGTCCCACCTGGAGGGCAAGAAACGGGTGACCATGATCAAGACGGAACGCGACAACGTCGGTGTCGACCTTGGTCATCATTCATCGTGGACCATCCTCGAGAATCGGCGACGGCCGGCGTGGACCATGACCGAGCGGCGTCGACAAGATCCTGCGGCATCTTGGTCACGGTCAGCGTGCTTGTAGGCGTTTTTGTTCCCCCCCGAATTTCGAAATTTAGCCGAAGGGTGGGGGAGGGGGGGGTCTGGGTCTGGGCCGGTGCTTAGTCGATCTGCTTTTGTTGAGCACGGACCGGCCGTCCCGGCATTCCTATAGGCCTACCACGACATGTTCTTAGAACCCACACATGCTCTAATAACAACAACAATGTTCTTAGAACGTAAGCCCGATGTGTCAAAACAAGGCAGCCCCAGCCAGAAATGTTCTAAGACCATTTCGTGCAGACCACAAGAGGTTCTCAGAACATTCTCTGGTGGGCCTCTAGGCGAGCCAGGACGCCTCGCCACTGCCTGAAATTCTGCCAGGCGCGACCGCAGGCTGGGGGAAAGGGGCCCCGAGAAGTCGCCCAGAGCGGCCAGGATCTGACCCATGGAGGGGGGGGGGGGAAGGCCAGGGGCCCGCGCCGATCGGCGAAACACACGGAACAAGAGACACGGAGGCCCCTCGGGGAGACGTGAGACTCGGGTACGGGGGGCTCGGGTAGGCCTGACTTGGGCAGGGGCCGACCGTCCCGGCATGCGTGTAGGCCTACCACGACATGCTCTTAGAACCCACATATGATCTAAGAACAAGACGATCTTCTCATAGCATAAGCCCGAGGTGCTAACGCAAGCCACTATCGGCCAGCAATGTTCTAAGAACATTTCGTGGAAACCACAAAAAGGTTCTCAGAACATTCTTTGGCGGGCCTATAAGCGAGCCGCGACGCTTCGCCACTGCTTGACTGACAGAGCCATCATGAAGTGACGAGACCCAATCTGAAATCTGACGCGAGCTCCTGCTGCAAACGTCCCACGGACATCGGGCCGACAAAATCTGGGACGCGCTCGTCAAAAGACTTCGGCGAACCCGAGCTCCGGCTTGCTCGAGCCTTACGTTTCCCCGAACCTTCTGCCCTCGACCACCCCATGTTCACCCACACGGGCTCCGGAGGCAGGCGCGGCAGCTGCAGCTTCAGCCCCGGCTGGGCTGGGCTGGCCTCGGGCGGGCGGAGCAAGAAGGGCACCGTTTGGTGGGGGCGACCTCCTTGGGGGTCGCCCCAGGTGGGCTGGCGAGGCGACCTCCTTGGGGAGCAACAAGGGCCTCAGGTGGGGGGCGACCTCCTGGGGGAGCGATACAAGGGCCCCAGGTGGGCTGGGCTGGTACATGGGGGGGCGACCTCCTTGGAGGGGGGGGAGCAAGAAGGGCCCCCAGGTGGGTGCACCCTGTGGGGCCAGGTTTCGGGGCGCCTGCTGGCTCCCAAAGAGGGGGCCCGAGAGAGTGCCCCGCCCGGGGCCCTTCCTGCCCAGACCCCCGGCGCTGTGCCCTTTCTCGCAGCGTCGGCCCCCTCACGCCCAGCCAAGCCGCGTACAGAGAAGGGTAAGCCAGCTCGCCAGCTCGCCAGCCAGCTCGCCAGCCAGTTCGATTCCAGACAAGGGTAAACCAGCTCGCCAGCCACGTACAGAGAAGACGTGCACAGATCGGAAGGTTCGAGCGCCACACGATCTACGATCTACCGATAAGCACGCAGTACGCGCCCAGCGAGCATCCAGGAGCTCCAGAACATGCAGTCTGGAACGCCAGGGCCGCATCTGAGCCCTCACGACGGGCGGGGGGAGAGGATCAGCAGCGCCACCCCCGCCTCGCTCTGCTCATCACCGCCCCTCCGCAGCCATCCCCGAGCGGCCCCCCAACAGCGCCAAGAGGGCACCCGCGCGCGAACCCAGACCCCCGACGACGTGATTTTGTTCACAACGTCGACTCCCCGAGGTCTGGAACCCTTCCCCGGGACCGGTTTTTTTTCCTGGGCCGTTTCTGGACGGCCCCGAGGCCGAGCAAGGGCCCCCGGAGGCCGAAAATAGCGAAACCTCTCCCGTCGTGATTTTTTCTCGACGCGAGGAGGTCTGGGTAGAGTGCCCCTTTCGGGCCCTTCCTTTTCTTCACCCTCCCATTGATTGGCGGTGAGCGCGGGGGGGGGGAGTGGGAAGAGGCGGGCCTTCTCAGAAGGCTCGGAAGTCCCCCTGCCTTCTGAGAAGTTGTCTCAGCCTTCTCCGAAGACACCAAAACCTCTCAGAAGGCCGGAGCGCTTCTGAGAAGCCCCGCCGCCTTCTGAGAAGACCTTCTTCTCCTCACTTCCCCTCCTGGCTCGCCGCCGAATTGAGATCACAACGTCGGCCCCCGGAGGTCTGGACCTCTCCCCGGGACCGGTTCTTCGTCCCGAGCCGTTCTTTGACGGCCCCGAGGCCCGGTACGGGCACCCAAGGGCCCAAAACAGCGAACAAAAACGACCGTCGCGATTTTTTCGTGACTCGATGGGGCCTGGGTTCCTGTTCTTTACCCCCTCACATTGCTGAGCAGGGACCGACCGTCCTGGCATTCCTAAAAGGCCTACCACGAAATTTTCTTAGAACCCAAACATGTTCTAATAATCAAAAGAATGTTCGTATAATGTAAGCCCGATGTGTAAGAAAAACAAGACAGCCCCAGCAAGAAATGCTCTAAGCACATATCGCGCAGATCACAAAACGTTCTTAGAACATTCTCTGGTGGGCCCATACAGAGGACTCCTGGATGGGGTCGGAGTAGATGGGGTCGGAGGATCGCGCCATATCGCCGATACATCGGCGATGCATCGGCGATGCATCGGCGATGCACCGGCAATGCATCGTCGACGTCGGCGATGCATCGGCGACGCCGACGTGAAGCAAATCGGGCTGCACATCGAGCCACATCGGCGATGCATCGGCGATGCGGCGCCATCCTCCGACCCCATCTCTCCGACCCCATCTAGGAGGCCTAGACCATAGGCGAGCCAGGGCGCTTCGCCACTGCACGACATTGAGGCCACCCCCTCCTCCTCCTCCTCCTCCTCCTCCTCCTCCTCCTCCTCCTCCTCCTCCTCCTCCTCCTCCTCCTCCTCCTCCTCCTCCTCCTCCTCCTCCTCCTCCTCCTCCTCCTCCTCCCCTCCTCCTCCTCCTCCTCCTCCTCCTCCTCCTCCTCCTCCTCCTCCTCCTCCTCCTCCTCCTCCTCCTCCTCCTCCTCCTCCTCTGCACCTGAGGGGAAGCCGGAGCACCCTGAACGGAGCGGCTTCCTTAACGGCCGCGGGAAGTCACCGCGCAGCACGCGGAGCGAACGAACCCAGGATACCCTGCCGAAAAGCACTTGGTTTCTTGTTGCGCGCCTCCACTGCAGGGGGAGGGGGGCAGGCTTCTTAGCAGGAGGCTGCTTCTCAGAAGGCGCGAGCCTTGCACATCTGCAGACATGGCCCGCGTCTCCTAAGAAGCTGGAGGCTGCTCTTCAGAAGCCCTCCCCCCTCCCCCTCCCCCTCCGGGGAAATGAAAAGGCACCAATACCGGTACTCCCCGGACCTCTTCCAGGGTGCGTTCTGACGAGGATCTCGAAGCGAATCCCGCGGTGGCGACGAGGGCCGCCCAGGAGGGCCAAAAAGGGGGAAACTAGGGAAGGGTAGAGGTATGGATGCCTCTTCCTCCCCTGACCCACGCGTGGCTGAAGCCCAGGGGGGGGAGGGGGACCCCAGGCACGCACCGAAGGGGCGCCGATGGCTCCTCCTCTCTCCTCCTCCTCCTCCTCCTCCTCCTCCTCCTCATCCTCCTCCTCCTCCTCTCCTCCTCCTCCTCCTCCTCCTCCTCCTCCTCCTCCTCCTCCTCCTCCTCCTCCCTCCTCCCCCTCCTCCCCTCCTCCTCTCTCCTCCTCCTCCTCCTCCTCCTCCCTCCTCCTCCTCCTCCTCCTCCTCCTCCTCCTCCCCTCCTCCTCCTCCTCCTCCTCCTCCTCCCCCTCCTCCTCCTCCTCCTCCTCCTCCTCCTCCTCCTCCTCCTCCTCCTCCTCCTCCTCCCTCTCCCCTCCTCCTCCTCGTCCTCCTCCTCCTCCTCCTCCTCCTCCTCCTCCTCCTCCTCCTCCTCCTCCTCCTCCTCCCTCCTCCTCTTCCCCCTCTCGCCGCCTCCGGCGCGGCGGCGTGGCGGCCCGTGAGGCGGGGCGAGGCCCCCTCCGGCCTCCTCGTGCCCTGGGACGACGACCCACGCGGCGCCTGCGGCGGCGGCCTGCGCCATGGCCATGGTGGTGCTCTCGAAAAGGCGCGGCGCGCCGGGTCGCCCTCTTGACAGACCTCCTCGCGTTGTAAACCATAAATAAATAAATAAAAAATCACGACGTGAGGTTTTCTGCTGTTTTCGGCCTCCGGGGGCCCTTGCGGGGCCTCGGGGCCGTCCAAAAACGGCCCAGGACAAACAACCGGTCCCGGGGAAGGGTTCCAGACCTCGGGGGGTCGACGTTGTGAACAAAATCGCGTCGTCGGGGGTCTGGGTTCGCGCGCGGGTGCCCTCTTGGCGCTGTGGGGGGCCGCTCGGGGATGGCTGCGGAGGGGCGGTGATGAGCAGAGCGAGGTGGGGGTGGCGCTGCTGATCCTCTCCCCCCGCCCGTCGTAAGGGATCAGATGCGGCCCTGGCGTTCCAGACTGCATGTTCTGGAGCTCCTGGATGCTCTCTGGGCGCGTATTGCGTGCTTATCCGTAGATCATGTGGTGATCGAGCCTTCCGATCTGTGCACGTCTTCTCTGTACGTGGCTGTTGAGCTAGCTTACCCTTGTCTGGAATCGAAGTATGGCCTCCGATCACTTTCTTCTAACATGGTCTTATTGCACATGCCAAACACGCACATGCTCCTTATCTCTCTCTCTCTCACACTCTCTCTCTCTATCACGCACACACACACGCTCTCAGCCACGCACGCGCGCACGCACGAGGCAGACACGTATGTTTGAGGAGTGGCCTCCTCCTCCTCCTCCTCCTCCTCCTCCTTCGTCCCGCTGCTTCCCGCAGCCTCCCTCCTATGTTTTCTATCATCCCTACTCCTCTGCCTTGTTCTCGTCGTCCTCCTCCTCCTTCTCCTCCTCCTCTTCCTATTCATATTCTCTCCTCCTCCCAAGCTGTGCCCTCCTTCTCCTCCTCCTCCTCCTCCTCCTCCTCCTTCTCGTGCTCCTCCTGTTCCTTTCACGCCAAACTTTCTCATCGCAGTCCGCGCTGATTATTCTTCTCGCAGCTCACCAGCTCAGCAGCTTCCATCTTCCCTCCTCATTCCTGCTCCTCGTCCTTGTCCTCATGCTCCTCCTCCTCCTCCTCCTCCTCCTCCTCCTCCTCATCCTCATCCTCACCCTTACCCTCATCGTCCTGAGTATCGTCGGAGTTATCACCCCTCCTCCTTCCTTCGAGAATCTCCGCCGAATCGCTATGCCAATCGGTGCATCGATTCCGCCGGGACTCAAGGAAGAACGCTGGCTCGGGCAACTTGGTCGCATGCGTGTGGAGACCATCATGGCAAGGTCCCGGGAATGGACCCGCTCCTCGACTACCTGTTGGCGCTGAGCAGGAGCGGCGACGATGCCTACACGGCGTCCAGCTCGGCGGCGCACCTGTGCCCTTTCTCGCAGGGTGCTGCGGTCCGGGCCCCGCGGCGCTGCTCGACTGCTGCCAGGTTGCTTCTACATCATCAGTGTGTCGTGTGGAGGGCTCGGGCACTACAGGCGTCGCGTCGGAGAGATCGGCAAGTGCCGCAGCCGCATAGGCGTCAAACTTGGTCAAACATCTGCTCCATGGGATCATCAGTGCCTCTTCTCCACAATTTTACCCACGAGCGGAACTTTGACGTCGTCCAGCAGGTTTGCTAGCCGCGCGCGCCAGTGACGATGTGGCGGACGGGATTCACCCGAAGAATTTGGCGCACGAAGGGCAAACTAATGTTGTATCCCAATCGCCGTATGCGTAGGCCAAGGCCGGCAAGAACGCGACGAACACCAGTTGATGAACGACTGGAGAAAACCAACGCGAGGGGCAAGGCTGCATAAAAGGCAATACAACCGTCCACAATGCTGGGTAGACGTACGCACCGTGCGAACCAGCGGGAAGCACGAGAATACGAGGCGAAGCCAGCACCCCTCCAGCGGGTCATAGCAACTTGGAGCACAGTCGCAAGCAAGGCGCAAGGCGCAGGTCACGCACACGCAATTATGAGCTCGGAAGGCAGCAGGCAGCCCATGCGTCGACAACCGCATCGCTGAAGAAAAACACGTACCGTGGAGGGTCAACCGTGCGGTCTTACTCAACGCTCTGCTTGAACAGAAAGGTGCGCGATGAGGAGGACGAGGTCGATGAGGGACATCCGCAGCAGGACTCGGCGGCGAGCCTGGGGGGAAGTCACAAGGGGCGGGCCTTCCCAGACGGCTCGGAAGGCCTCGGGCATCCCGAGGAGCTCCCGGAGCCCTCCCCGGAGACGCAACCGACTTCTCCAGAGGGCGCGAGGCCTCCCGAGAAGCTCCGCCGCCTTCTGAGAGGGCCTTCTCCTTCTCGCTGTCTCCCCTGGCTCGCCGTCGATCGGGGGCGCGCAAGCATGGCAGCGATCCGCGGATCTGGCGCGCGGTCGCCAAATCCATGGATCGGGGGAGGTGCCCCCCCCCCCCCAGAATGCGGCCGGGGCCGCCTCGCCCAGCGGCGGAAACCCGCGGCTTCCCATGGAAGCGGGGTCCGCCGCCAAATCAGCGCCCCCCTGGTCCATGTTTGCGATCGCCTGGGAGAGAGAGAGAGAGAGAGAGACCTGGTCCATGTTTGCGATCGCCTGGGAGAGAGAGAGAGAGAGAGAGACCTGGTCCATGTTTGCGATCGCCTGGGAGAGAGAGAGAGAGAGAGAGAGAGAGCCGCACAGAGCTGTCCCTGGGCTTTTCGCTCGGGCGAAGCTCCCTCCCCTCCCCCGGGGCGGCAGGGCGCCCCGTGCAGCCGCGAGGCGCCCAGCGCCGCCAGCGGGGGGTCCTGGGCGGCTCGGGGCACACCCACGGCCCCCCCTATGACCGTTCGACGTCCTGCTACTGCCGTTCCTCCTCGTCGTCTCCCTCCTCGTCGTCTCCCTCCTCATTTCCTGATCGTCCATACGTGGATTCTGGCTCAGCCGATTGCTCAACGTCCTTTTTCTCGTCCTCCTCATCATGCTCATCCGCCGCCTCCGCCGCCGCCCCCATCTCCCCCACATGCTCCTGGACCTTCTATGCCTTTCCTCCTCCTCCTGCCTCCCTCTCTCACGGATCGTCTTCCGCCTCAACTTTCACCTCCGCCTGATCCCTCCCTCCTTCTGCGCCGCCCTCCCTCCCTCCTCCTACCCTCCTACCCTCCTTCCCCCTTCCCCATCCATCGGCGGGGGAGCACCCAGTAGGCTCCCCCCCCCGTCACACGAGCGGACCCTGGTGCATCAGGCTCGACATCTGGGGTCCCGCTGCCGCCCGGCCCGGACCTTGCTACGGCGCCTGATCCGGCTGCACGCCTGGCGCACATCCCAGAGCGCACTCATCTGTGAGAACAGGAAGACTTCCCTGGTCTGGACTCTCCGTCCTCCTCCTCTCCCTCCCCCCTCATCCCCTTGGCGCCGATGCTCCTCCTCCTCTTCCTCCTCCTCCTCCTCGTCGTCCTCCTCCTCCTCCTCCTCCCTCCCCGTGCCGTCCAGGCGCGGCACAACTCTGGGCGCGTCGCGCAACACGTAGCTCGCCTCCTCCACGCCTTGCCGCCGTGGTTCGGGCAGGGAGGGGGCGGCGGAGGAGGAGGCGGAGGAGGAGGAGGAGGACGAGGAGGAGGAGGAAGAGGAGGAGGAGGATCATGCAATAATCCAGGAGGCATCATCGATGCTCCAGCAAGCCACCCCATTTAGAAAGCCGCCTCCTCGCACAGCCACTCACTCTTTCGGAGGGGAGCGTCCCCCGGAAGAATGAGCGCCCTGCGGGTTTGCCACTCGGGCGATTGGCCCGCTTTGGAGGCAGGATCTGCCCTTGCTTCTTACAACTGTATTCTCTCCAGCACAACCATCAGCCAGCGAAAAGGTGGTGTGCCTGATGTGATCCGAACATCTGTTGGTCAATCGAACCAATCTCCAACGCGAATAAAACACTGCAACGGCAACATGCGTATGTCACGGAATACCTCTTGGAGGCGGTGTGGACATGCATAGGGTCATTAACAGCTGTAAGGAAAAACCACGAGGTCGACACACAACACTTATTGCATTTCCAACGAGAACCCCGCTTTGAGAGGGCACACGTGTCCTTCCGCGTAGCCATTGCGAAATGAAACAACATGTTGGTGGTTCAATTGATGTCTCAGAAAGCAACCCTGTTGTCAAAACAAACAACCCTTCACCCGTGTAATGAAATGTGCGCTACAGCATTGAACACAAGCATCGGGGAAATCTCACACGGGCGTCACATGTTGAAACAAACCCACCCTCCACTCGTGTGGCTACTGGGATTGTGCAGACGATGATGCGCGGTGTGCTAAACAACAACCTGTGCTCAATCCCTGTGACTTCTTGGGACTTTCAAGACGAACCACGACGAATGCGCGCGGCGCTGGAACGAGAACCATATGCCGAACACCATTCGCTCTACATCCGTGTAACGGTTGGGATCTTGAAGCCTGCGCACGGCATGGACGAGAACCATATTTTGGACACCACCCGCTCTCCAACCTTCGGTGGCAACTCATGGGAGCCTCGCGTACCGCTAATCGACGCTAGATCGACGCTAAATCGGAGCCATCTCATCGACTCCAGGCGCTAATCGACGCTACAGATGGAATGGCGAGGGTTTACCGGGCTCCCATGACTTGCCACCGAACCAGCCTGACTGATGGAAGCTTCAAAAGTTTCAACGTCACTACCAACCTTTGCGGAACTTCGGGCGAAGCGCCCGGCCCGCCCGGCCGAGGCGCCCGGTGGCGCGGTGCGGATGAACTGCTCCCAGGGAAGAAGGGGTGGGGGAGGAGGGGGGAGGAGCAGGAACATCGGCGGTGGACACACCTCCCTTCAGTGAACCTCCCCTTAATGAGAACGGCCTGGGGCCGAACCGACGGACCGGGGCCCGCAGAAATGACGGACGCGACGCCCTCTCGCGAACCGAAACCGGCCAATTCCTTGATCGACGTGTCAGGGTAGGAGGACTGTCCACCCCCGAGAAAAGGGAGCATGAAGGATGCAGTGGAGGCCAGTCCGCAAGAAACCTTCCACAAGAAACCCAACCCTGAGACCCCAAGACGTCCATGGATTTTTGGTGTGGGCACGTCCCGCTTTCCATCGCAAAACCATCGAAACCCAAGAAACCCAGGGCACCCTGGAGGCAAGCCGGGTGTTTCTTGGCATGGGTCTCCACTGTAGAGCGAGGATGAATAAAAGGGGGATGGGGAAAACATAATGGATGTAGACTTGGTGGTGTGGGAGGAGGGGGTAGCGGAAAGGAGGAATGGGGGCCTGCCTCTCCACTTGCTCCCCCTCGCTCACCAAACGCAGGCGCACACGCGGGCGAAGCACGTCTATCGCAAGCAAGGCGAAAGGTGAAAAGTCACGCAGAGCCTGAGCATGTTTTTGGGGTGGAGGGCTCCAGGTGAAATCCATGTGGGCTTTTCACATCGAAAATCAATCCGTCTTGTGATTCACCTTTTGCAGATCCCAACCTCGGAAATCAATCGAAAAAACGGCACTTCAGATTTCACCCTTTGCTCTCCACCAGAAAATGCTCGGAGAGCGGAGGAGCTCACTCTGGCGCGACGCCAGGCCGCGGACAGATCAGTGCACTGTGCATCGCGCCACCTCTTGCGCTGGCCACCTGCGCGTCTGGATGCCAGGGTCGCCAACTTAATGGCTGCTTACACCATCTTCCGTCTGCGACGGAGGTCACGCGCCCGGCCGACGATACTGGTGTACTCCTTGACCCGAGGGTTCCAAAGGGGGTTTTTGGGGAGGGGGTTTTCCAGGAGGGGTCCCCCAGGGACTTCGCACCCCCTGTTTTGCCGAGGTTCCGAGGCCCTTGGGGGGCTCTCTGGAAAACCCCCTCCCCAAAACCTCCTTTGGAACCCTCCGGCATGACCCCAGAACCCAGTCACCGACCCCAGACTTGATCATCGAGTCGACGCTGGTGCTGGTAGCACGCTTGAGGAGCCTCCTCAAAACAAGCACCCTCGTGCAAAACAGAACACCGCCACCGAAGGAAAGCCAGGGCAGATAGAAGAAGACACATCGCCGTAAACATAAACTGTTGGCGCTCCGCGCGGAGCGCCAAACATTTATGCTTGTGGCGTGTTCTCTTCCTCGAGCAGAGGGGGAAGGCTGCTGGACACCCTGGGCCCCGCCACCCCGTGGCCGGGGCCTCCACCAATACTGGCGGTGTGCCTCCACCGAGGGAAGGTGCTCCCGGTCTCGGTGGTGGTGGTAATAGTTTGGCTTTCTAGGGGGCCGAAGTATTACCACCAACACCGAATTTTAGGGTCATCTTCTTCTGGTTGAGGCCTCCAATGCTTAGCTGCCCCGATGCGCAACACGCGACACGTAGCGTGTTGATACGGAGCTCAGCACATACCCTGAAAACGTAGATCCGACGCGATGCGTTCGCCAAAGCGTGGGCCAACCTGTCGAGCCAACTCGCAGCGTGTCGACACGGACGTTTTGAGCACGGTACGTGCTGCGTATCAACATGTGCGCATCGAGACAGCTATCGGGGATAGACAGACCCCCCTTTAGTAAACGTGGATTAGTGAAAACGACCCGAGGTCCAAATCTGGCGGGCGCAGGCCTGGAACATAACGGCCGCGGCGCCCTCTCAAGAACCGAAAACGGACAATCCACTAATCGACGTGTCACTGTTGGGGGTTCTGTCCGCCCCCGAGACTATAGGCCGACGAGGAGGAGGAGGAGGAGGAGGAGGAGGAGGAGGAGGAGGAGGAGGGAACGAGGAGGAGAGGAGGGGACGAGGAGGAGGAGGAGGAGGAGGAGGAGGAGGAGGAGGAGGAGGAAGAGGAGGAGGAGGGGTTTCTGTCCACCCCCGAGGGGTTTCTGTCCACCCCCGAAGCTGAGCTCCAATGGGGCCCCGCCACCCCGTGGCCGGGGGGGCGCCGCCGCGCCGTGCGGCACGCCCGGCCGCAGGCCGAGGGGCGCAAGGCAGGGCGGCCGCCGCGCGGCGGGAGCGGCCGGGGCAGCGCGCGGCGTGGCGGCCTGGGGCCCGCAGGGGGGCCGCGGCGCGGCCGAGGGACGCCTGCGAGGCCACGAAGATGGGCGGCGGCGCCGCCTGGGCGCTGCGCGAGGTCCATCGGCCATTTTCTCTCTCTCTTTTTCGTTTTGTTTTGGTGTTTTTTGTTGTTGTTTTTTTGCTTTTTGTTTTTCTGTTCCTTTTCTTTTCTCTCTCGCTCTCGCTCTCGCTCCCCCTCTCCCCCTCTCTCTCTCTCTCTCTCTCTCTCTCCCCGAAGCGCCTCCGCCCCTCCGCCCCTGGCCCTCCGTTTCCCTTCTCCGCTTTGCCCTCCCTCGCTCCCTCGCGCCCCCCCCCCCTCCCCTCCGGCTGCCTACAAGAACACCCTTCGGGTGATCAGGAGGATGGGATGGTGCTGCTGCGCATCTCGGTGTTCGGACCCGGGGCCAGACGGCCCAGTCGACCTTAACTACAAGCAACTGTCAAGCTGTTTGTTGAACTAAAGTGTAGACATATGACGTAACAGTCTAATATGAGATCTGGTGGTATGTCTACCCATCTGATTAAAATGCCTGACTGCAAAACTGCAGATGTGCCTTCAGCCCCGTATGTCTGAACAGCGATTGTTACAACGTTCCCGCTGTGAGGCTGGCGGTCCACCTAACGATCTATTTGCCCCCCCCCTACCCACCGATTGATGTGACCATCCGCCACAATGCCGACGACACGCCCAAACGGCCCCCGGTGATGCCAACATGGCCTGAAGAAGCCCCAGCAGTGGCCCAGAGGCCCCAGAACGCTCAACTTAGCGCCAGAAACACATCATAACGGCATTTGCAAAAACCCAAGGCACCCCAAATCCAGCCCATAACTTTGAACACTGCCTGCTTGCGAAACTTGCGCGCTGCTTGCACCATCGATGATTGCACCAATGCCGACTGCAAGGGCACTGTGCCAACAACTGTTTGCCCCAAACATTCCCGATGTGCATGTGCCGAACATCCCCGCACCAAATACGCATCCCCCCGGGCGACACTCTCCCTCCCTCGCCCTCCCTCTCCTCCCTCTCCTCCCTCTCCACCTCCCCCTCCTCCTCCTCCTCCTTCTCCTCCTCCTCCTCCACCTCCCCCTCCTCCTCCTCCTCCTCCTCCGCCTCCTCCTCCTCCTCCTCCCTCCTCCCCCCTCCTCCTCCTCCTCCTCCTGCTCCCATTCCTCCTCCTCCTCCTCCTCCTCCGCCTCCTCCTCCGCCACGTTTTCATTCACCTCCGACGTCTTATCACGCATCCCGTCACCCTCAAGGTCCGAGGTATCCAGGGTCGGCGGCACTGGCCGTAAGGCCTTAGCAATAAACGGAGGGTGCCGTAAAGTTGTAACACCAATCAAAGTGTGAACATGGGTATGAATAGTGGCTGTCATATGGCCGTGCCAAGTTACGGATCCCAGAAGGATTTCAAAATGCCTTGACACACTTTGGATGAACAGTGAAAAATTACAGTGCTATTTCAACAATGGCAGCTGAACCAACGATGGTCGACAAAGTGATTACGATGAAATTGTACCGAGGCGATCGCGTTCCAAGAACGGCCACAGGGTGATTGTACAAGAGGTATCTAGATGAAACACCTCGGGCGACATCGGCGAAGAATGCGAATGTGACTGCCTCCAGCAATTCCGTTGAATAATAGCGAAGGTCTTTCTTGCTTTACTATTACTTGATTGGGCGGGAGTTCTCGGCCGATTGGAACCAGATGCGCTGCCTTAGCACGTTTCGGTCTACCACCGCATATCGTAGATGTGATCGGGGGAATATACCCACATCGTTATTTTACAAGTGTCGATCATTGTGGCAACTCTTCTGAAAGTGAGCAGGCTGCTGGAATCGCGCAAGACTGTCCTCTTTCTCAAACTTTGTTCTCTTATTGTCTGAAGGGTGATGCTGACTGATATGTTTGCTAATCTATACTTTGACCATGCAACGGAGTATGTTGTAACCAGGGGTTCTTTGCACGCAGACGACACAACGCTGATGTTGCAAAGTGGGGCAGACCTTAGAACAACTGCTGGGCGCTATTTTTTCGGAAGGTCAAGCTCACGGCTTGGAATACAACTAGGGCAGTATTGTGCCGTTAAGCCTCTACTAAGAAAGAAGAGAGGCTGGGCGGATAACCGATCAACTTTTACACAACCCGTTTACTTGGGAGGATTGGATTGATTACGCATGGCGGTCAGGTGGGGCATGACTTGACCAGGCGCCTGGGAGAGAACATATTAATCCAATACTTTTGTATATGATTTGCGCGTTCTTTAGTTAGTAAACGACGGAATCCATCGATATACACACCGGGCGTTCTCGGCAAACTCTTGTAGTCGTTGGATTCCTTGTGGATCTTCAATGTGAGCAGATTTGAAGCTTTCCACTGCAAGTGCTTGCAGGACATCCTTGGGATAATGCCGCCTTGCTTTTCGAAAATCTCTAATGCCGTTGAGCTGGATAAGGCAGACTGACTCCAAGCCTCTGCCCGCAATTCTGAATGACCGCCAACTGCGACTTTGAGAAATGATTGCCTTGCAGACCGACGCTTCACTACCTAAACAGCTGGTGTGCGATGCCAGCGGTGGCCTTAAAAATTG